ATCAGGTTCCTCCTCTGTGCAGCAGAGGGGCCAGCCAGCCCCCTTGCACAGCCTACGGATTCAGTCCTTCATCCAGTCTTCTCTGCTCGTCTCATCTTGGTCTGGCTCTACTCCCCGCTCCTTCGTGAATCTCTTATCCTTCCCCAAATCCTCTTTGTCTCTCCCCAATCTGACCCCTTGATATTCTGCACCCCTTCTCTCTACTCGCAGACTCCTAAGTTCCCCTCCTCCTCACCCTAAGCACCTCCCCCAGCCCCAGGCCCCTGGCTCACCTGTTAAGAGAAGGACTCGGCGAGTCATGGCTGGAGGGAGCAGGAGCCCTGTGACTGTGGGCATCACCAAAGCCAGGAAGGACATAAAAAGAGAAGTAGTAGAAGCAGAAATATACTAGAGACTCAAAGGAAGAGGGCGGGGGCTTAGTTAGTACAAAGCCTTCTTGACCTCCCTCCTATGGCCACACTCAGCTCCCTCCCCCCAACCACCAGCTTCCTAGCCCAAACCAGAAAGGTCACTATTTCCAAGGTGTTGTTTGCCCACCAGCTTCTAGGCTTGTGAAAGCATTGTGAAAAGCAAGCCAAGTAGGCTCAGGACCTGCCTCCTGGAACGTGTGTTCTACACATGAACACAGACCACCCAAGTGTGGGAGGCCACCCCCTGGGTCTCCCTGAAAGCACGCTTTGCAAAATGCCCTGCCCTCCTGCCCAAGGAGACAGGAGCACCCTTCAGCCAGAATTGCCCTCCTTTGTAGCCATCCATAAGGACAGCTCAGACACGGAGAGACCTATATTACTTTAAGAAAAAAAAAAAATAACTCAAACCCTTTGCCCAGGAATTTTCACTTCTAAGAATTTATCCTAAGAAATAGCTGAGAAGTACAATCAAAGCAGATGTGTAAGCTGGTGTGTTGCAGCATTGCTTTTCATCGTGAAACACTGGAACAGCCTCAACATCCACCAGCAGAGGAGTGGCTGAATATGCCTCACCTGGGATATGTCCTCACGCTCCATCCAATCACTTCTGCTTCTGTTTCAAAGACACAGGAGCGTCCTTTCATGAAATATACGGAACACCAAACTGGAACTTGACTGTGACTGCTAATGTAACCCCCAACACAAAGGTTTCTTTCATTCTATCTCCTACACATTTTCTCTTGGCCCTAGTTCTCCTTTCTTAATAACCAAAACAAATAAACGTTTGTTCTCTGAAAAAAAAAAATCCATATGTTTTTGTTTTAAAAATTACCTGTTTAAAAATACGCATGTGTGGGAAACCCAAAATGTTAATAGGGATTCTCTCTGGGTGGTAGGGTCGTGGGTGTGTCCCAGTCATCTATTGCTCCGTAGCAAAGCACGCCTAATCTTAGTGACTTAAAAGAGCAACTTATTATTGTCTCATGGTCCTGTGGACGGTCTGGCCTCAAAGTTCCCACTGAAGGATCTCACGTTGCAGTGAGATAGTGATGGGCTGGAGTCATCCAAGGTTCCGTTGGGCTAGACTTTCCCAGTGGGGTCGCTCGCACTGCCAGCACTCAGCTCCCTCCCCCCAACCACCAGCTCAGTTGGGGCTGCCACCTGGAGTACCTCCGTGTGGCCTCTGCGTCCTGGGCTTCTCACAGCACCGTGGTTAGATTTTAAGAGCAAGCGCTCCAAGAGACAAGAATTGAAAGTTTCCAGTCTCTTGAGGTTCTGATCTGGAAGCCATCACAGAGTCACCACCACCGTATTCTATTAGTCAAGCCATCCAGAGCCCATCCACATTCAGAGAGAGGGAACACAGATCCACATCTCAATGGGAGGTGCGTTAAAGAGTCTGTAGTCAACTTGAGTCTGCTACTGGATGATTTTAGTTTTCTCCTACAGATCTTTAGTATTTAAAGCTTTTATACAATAAAGCTTTTATGCAAAAAAAGATGAAGGAATTTTATGATCAAAAAGAAAAGAAAAGCACCGGTGAATAGTTTAAAACAGAGTACCTGTGTGTGTTCGCAGGAAAAGGGCTGAGGAAAGAGGAATAAGGCCGTGGGCCCAGGATGTGAGGAGCAGTTTAGTGGAGAAGCTGGGGGTTTTCTGGTGAAAGCGTTTACACTCTGATCACCACAGGAGGCTGCAAGGAGTTGCCCAGGGCCCACTATGTGTAAAGACCCAGGAAAAAGTCTCAGAATGGCTATCCAACCTGCAGAGCCTTTCTCAATGACCAACAAGGGGGTGTGCACCTGACCAGGTGATGACAGGTGGGCACCTACCTATAGGCTTCCAGTCATTCTCTTCCACCCAACCCCTCCCCCTACTGTTGATAAAAATCTTAGCTTGAGTTCCTCTACAAATGGACCTGAGACAAGGATTCAAGTGCAAGTAGTTTATTTGGGGAAACACTGGTGGGGAAGAGAAGACAGGAAGGAACCCATAAAAGATGTGTGATGAAACGAGTTACTACCAAGGACAATTGGAGCTCAAATCATTAAGGAACTCTGAAAGCCAGCATAGAACATGCCTCAGCATTATCCTCCTGAGTGACGGGAAAGGGAGCCAGATTCTTATCCACAAGTCATATCAGCTCTTAGTTAAGGAGTGCTCTCTGGTGAAGCCTTCATTCTCTGGTGCTACCAGCCTGCCCTGCACCCAGGCAGAGGAGGCTCCAGGGGCCAAAAAGAGCCCTCAGACAATCAGTTGCAGGTACTACTGGAAGCTAGAAACCAGGCCAGCTTGCAGAAAAATGTTGAACCCTGCCCAGCCAGAGTGGCTCAGTGATTGAGGTCGATTCCCGGTCAGGGGCCCAGGTTGTGGATTCAAACCCCAGTAGGGTGCATGCAAGAGGCAGCCGATCAATGATTCTTTCTCATCATTGGTGTTTCTATCTCTCTCTCCCTTTCTCTCTGAAATCAATAAAACTTTAAAAAAGAATGTTGAACACTGATGGGACATAAATGGGGCAACCACAGTGTCTGCTACAGATACTCAAATATTTTTTCACAGCACTTACATGAAGTTCTATTGTGTTTATTTAGTTTATCTATTGTCTGACTTCCCTACCAGAGTATATAAGCTTTATGAGAGCAGAGATTTTTTGTGTCTGTCTTGCTCATCACTCTATTTCCAGTGCACAGGACAGTGCCTGGTTCATAATAGAAACCACCCCCTCCCAAGAAATGAGTAATTGATTTAGAGGAAGAATTCTGGGGAAATTAGGAAGCACCAGGAGTCCTTCTTCCCACCTAGACAGCAATTGTACTAGCAGAATAGTCTGATGTAACTATTTAGGAGCTCTGGAGTCTCTCCAAAATTAGTTTAATCTATGTCAGCTTTTAGCACTGTAGCAGCTACCAATCCCCACTCCCCCCAATCTCATGTCAGGAAGCTCTGCATGCAATCCAACAGCAGTTTGCATGCAGCTTGCAGAAACCAGAGCGGGCAGTACGACCCCACCCCCAAAATATTGGGGCTCAGTGCTCTGTTGATTACAACCTTTTATCTCAGAGATCCAAACACAGAGGCAGGCAGCCATTGTTGCCCCTGCCTCCATTGTAAAAGTTCTTTCACCTCTAGGTGAAGCAATTTTCAAGAGATTTAAATGACTGGTGTATTTTTTCCCCTCTTTCATTTTTCTCCTTTTTTTCCCCACCTTTTGGGAGCCAGACAGTTAAGACCTAGTACATTCAAAAGCATACACAAGAATTTAAGAAGTAAACTACACCTACCCTAAGATCTTAAGACCATAAGATCTCAGGCTAATCCCTAACACAGAGTCAGCATATAACAATTTTTTTTAAAAAAAAAAAGCAAAGTAAAACAAAACAAATAACAGCAAACCCTGGGGAAGGGGAAGAATATGATATCCAGAATTAGTATATTATTCGATTCAAATATCTTATTTTCAACAACAAAAAATCACAAGGCATACAAAGAAAAATGAAATTATGGTATATTCAAAGGGAAAAAAATAAAAGAAAACATTCCTGAGAAAGACCAGTAAGCAGACCTACTAGACAAAGACTTTAAAACAGCTCTCTTAAAGCTGCTCAAAAAAGGAAGACATTAAGAAAGTCAAGAAAATGATGTAAGAACAAAATACAAATATCAATAAAAGGAATACCTACAAAGAAACCAAAAGGAATTCTAGAGCTGAAAATTACTTAAATGAAATAAAAAATTCTTCTGGTGATGGAGTCTGGAGAAGACACACAGAAATGGCACCTTGCAAGGGGGAGGAAAAGAAGGAACAGGTGATCAGCCTCAAACTGTAGGTGGTTGAAGAATAAAATATATTTAGTCTTCTCCACATCTTTGCAGCCTTCAATGATACTTTTGCCCATGTCACTGATCTTTCTGATAAGGCAACCATCTGCCATGTGACTGGTAGGATGAAGGTAAAGGCTGAATGAGATTATTCCTCTCCATATTCTGCCATGTTGGCTGCTTAGAATGTGACCCAGAGGTGCAGAAACCTGGGCATCACTGGCCTCCACATAAACTCAAGGCTGCAGGAATAAATAGGATTCACACCCCTGAGCCAGGGCCTAATCAATTCTCAGAGCCCTTGCTCGCTCAGGAATAGAGATCGGACAGATTAAGGATGTTATCCCCTCCCTCTCCAACAGAACCCACAGGAAGGGGAGCCACTGTAGTCGCTGTCTGTGAGCAGGACTCCTCAAATTATTGTTTTATGCTAATAAATTTTCTTTGTGTGAACAAAAAAAGAAAATAAATAAAAGAAAAATTTACAAAAGGGATTCTAAGGCAGATTTGAGCATTCCAAAAAGTGAGTCTGAAAAATTAAAAATAGAACAATTGAGGTTACTGAGTATGAAAAAAAAAAAAGAAAGAAAGAGATTGGAGAAAAGTAAAAAGAGCCTAAGGGACCATCAAACAGACTAACATATACATTGTGAGAGTGCCAGAAGAAGAGAGGGGGGGACAGAGGGTCAGAGAAATCATTTGAAGAAATAATGGCTTAAATTGTCCCAAATTTTATGAAAAACATAAGTATAAATATTACAGAACCCCAACAAACTCCAAGTAAGATGACATTAAAGAGACCCATACCAAGACATATTGTAATCAAACTGTTGAGAGACAAAGACAAAGAGAGAGTATTGAAAGCAGAAAGGAAAAAGTGAATCATCACATACAAGAGATCCTCAATCAGATTTCTCATTAGAAATTTTGGAGACCAGAAGGCAATGGGATGATATATTCAAAGTGCTAAAAGAAAAACAATGTTGGAGAAAACCAAGATGGCAGCATAGGTAAACACCGGAAATTGCTGCCTCGCACAACCACTTCAAAAAAACAACTAAAAGACAAAATGGACATCATCCAGAACCACAGGAAGGCTGGCCGAGTGGAAATTCTACAACTAGAAGGAAAGAGAAAAGCACACTGAGACGCAGAGGAGGTGCAGTGTGGAAGTAAAGTGCAGAGGTACAGAGGCGCACGAGGAAAGGGCTGGCAACTGAGGACATGGCTGTCTTTTTCAATTGGGAGGGAGACTCAAGCTCCGGACTGCTCTGAACTCCAGTTCCAGGCGAGTCTCTGGGGACCCAGACTCATATGGGGAGACACTGGACTGTCTGGCATCGGGCAGAACTCGAGGGCAGCTTTCTCTCAGAGGTGCTTGCAGCGATTGCCGTGGAACAGTAAGACCCGGGTCCTCTTAGGGCAGGGCTGAGGATCACCATAGCTGTTTGCTCTACCGTGTTGATTCCCTGAGACCCTGCCCCACCCAAGCTGTGCGCAGAGGCTTTTGTATGTGAATGCCCTAGCCCTTTGCAATCTAAAATTACCTAACTAACTGCAGCTGGGTCAGAGAGACCCAGAACATCCAAAAAGAAGGCCCAAGGCCCCACAGCAGCTTGCATTGCTTCACAGCTGGGACTCATCTAGGCACCTCCAAACTCCAAACAAAGAAAAGGAATCTGCAGATCTCTCCAAGCTCCTGCTGGGTAGCCTTAGGCAGAGGCTAAATTAGCACCTCCTTAGAGATCCAAGAGCCAGTATACCCAGTGGTCAGAGTGGA